AAAGAAAAGCTTGCTCACAGACATATATTCAAAAATAGGTTGACCAAAAAAAAAAAAAAGGATTTATTTGGTGGATGGCTGGTCCGGCACTCCAGCAACTTTGTATCCAAGCTGTTAAAAAGTCAATCACCCAAAAGATGACCCCGTTTCCAACAAGAAAAGGCTTTCAGGTGCATCGTTGGGGGCGGGGCGGGGGAAAAAGTTTGGGGGGGGGGGGGGGGGGGGGGGGTGTCTGTCACAATTGCATTGCTGATTCTGGCACAGATTAGCATAGCCTGTAAAGAATTGCTGATATCACTAAAACAGGCTATACTAATTAAAGCCGGAATCATCAATCAGCGGTCTTCAGACCCCGTCATCCGCCGAACGTGGAGGATAGCTTTTGTGTTGCGAGCTGAAGCTGAAGTTGGAAGTGAATCAAACGTTAGCGTCAAGAGAGGAGCAGCGGCCGGGCAGCGGAAAAAACAAGGATGGCTCGGCTGCATGCCGGATAAAAAGAAAAGCTTATTCAGGGGTTGAATGAGTTTTTCACGGCTTGCTCGAGGCTTTGAGGAGTCCGACGCTTTCTTTGGCCGTCGACATGTACAGTTTGGGAAGCAGAGAGGCGAGTCCTGAGGACGGATGGACTGTCTTCCGCGGCTCTCCCAGCTGTTCGCCAGGTCCTGCTTCGTCATGACACCGCGTGTATCACGGACGGTCGAGGTCGGGACAGCGTACAAACGCGCAAAGCAGGTCATGGCAAATGAATCAGCAAAACGACTTGGGATCAGGGACGCAGCCTTGGGGGACTTCACCTCAGTTTGGGGGGGGGGGGGGGGGGGGGGGTTGTTCATCATGCCATTGATTTGCCAAAAAGGGGAGCTTCAAACCCACATGGCCAACTTCCTGATTGGGGCTTTTTCAAAGAGAGAAAAATAATTTTTTCTTCCATCGTCTTCTTCCAAAGGCGATTATAAAAGGAGAACAATAAGGTGACGGTATCAATGATATGACGTCGCCTCCGTTTGGACTATAAAATCGGCGCAGAGTAGACGGCTCACGAGGTCTGTCCGACAGCAAATATACGAGCCACGGTGACGATTTATCATCGACTCAACTGTATTTATAGAGCACTTGAAAACAACCGGAGCTGTCAAAAATAATTCACGCAACAAATTAAAAACGAAGACAGTAGAACGCACAAAAACTATCAAACTAAATATCTCGTCTCATGCTGAGTCAAAAGAATAAAAATGAAGTTTTAAAGATGGGCAGCAATGAGATCGGATCCACGTCGTTACCGAGGTCGCAAAAGGTAGAGCGTGCCGTTCTCACCTCTGCTGCGCATTTCTGAGTTTCGCCAAAAGGATCGAGACAGTGCCGTGGAGCATTTTTAGTGCCATCCAGGTCTTGCATCATCATTGCCCGAATAAGATTTTTATCTTATTTTGAAGAGAGAAGAATTCCCGGGGGGGTTTTGACAACCAAGTAAGCAAACTGGTATGTTCGAAAGTCTAAAGACAGAAGGGGCAGACATTAGCCTCCTATTTGATGTATTGCCACACCGACGCGACCTTTATGTGGATTCATCGTGATAAAAATGGCTAATGAGACCGAGATGTCCAAAGTTGGAGCTTGGGGCCCATGACTCAAAGACTTGCAAAAGGTCGATCGTTCCTTCGACGCTTCACGGTTCGATGCGAGATAAAAATGTTCCCGATGAGATCGGATCCACGTCGTTACCGAGGTCGCAAAAGGTAGAGCGTGCCGTTCTCACCTCTGCTGCGCATTTCTGAGTTTCGCCAAAAGGATCGAGACAGTGCCGTGGAGCTTTTTTTTCTGCCACATGTCGAAAGTCTCGCCTCTCCAAAACGGTCCCTTCTACCATCTTAGCTGTGCCCGTGTAACAATGCGTGGCTCCACGCTCTTCACTGGATTCAACCAGACAGTGTGCCAAAGGTGCCATAGCAAGAGCGAGAAGGTCATAGCGATACCGCGGCCGAGCCAACGAGGCCTAATCTAACCTATTATGAGCAGGGATAGTCTGCGGCCGCCCGAATGAGGACAAGCGAGATAGAAAACAGTCAGATCGTGAGTTTGAAACCCACACATGACATTGAGGGTAAAAAGATTCCAAATTTCCAAACAACTCAAAACCATTGAAAGTATCGTCACAAGCGTTGTCACCGTCATCGGGAATTCGTCCTCCGGGCTAACAAGTGGACCGCATTGCGTGTTCGCGCCGTCTTGTTTTATGGTTGCGCCAGCAATTTCGGAAGAGATTTCGCAGTCGACGCAGATGCCGCTTGACAGGATTGAGAGAAAAAAAAAAAAAAAAAAAGCAAAAGAGTGCCGAGGGCAGTTTATCTCTGCGCACCTTTGAATTTGTTTCTCCAACTTGTAGGAGCAAATGGGGCCTGAAAATGTAGATCGGAGAAAGCTCAATGGACATCGCTGGGCATGAGAAATACAGGGCGGTAAAATCTTGAGTAGGAACCGTTGGGATTCGGGGGCGGGGGGGGCGGGGGGATCCATGTCTGTGCTCACGTCGCTTTCTAGAAAACGGAGATCGCCGGTGGACACAAACCCAGCATGAACGTCTCGCCATTTTCAAGGCTTGAAATGAAAAATCGATACTTTGGATCTGATATGCGCCTCAGTAGAAGTGTGGGAAATCAATTTTAAACCCGAGTTGATCGAGTCAACTGGCTTTTCTCAAGGCGTCCACTTACAGAAAATGAAATTTAAAAAAAAAGAAATAAAAAATCATGCCGTGAGGTATAATAACTGACCAAAGGTTATAAAGACACGTCGCCTGAGGGCCTAACAAGGAAAGTCGAGTCAAAACACAAGAAATGAGAAAGGCGGCCAACAATTTGTATCGTTGAGGAAAAAAAAATAACAATAAGCGGTCACCGGGTGAGTTGCGAAGGTGCAGGGGTGACGCTTGGCTTTCGGGCTGCGCCATCTGGTCGGCGTTCCAATTAGACTCGTTACATGCTACCTCACCGTGTGCTCGCCTGCCCGGAAGAAAAAATAAAAATCCCCTGCACTGAATGAGTCCCAAATTGAGAAGAGGCTGAAAGATAACTGTCACTGCTTATTAAACGCCGCCAAGCTAATGTTCCTTCGCCGAACTTTGTCGAGAGGTCCTCAAAAACCAAATTTGTCGAGAGGTCTGCAAACGTTTGGGCTTTGGCAAATGATTTTACACCAGCGTAGACACAAATCACAAAAATGTGCATTGATGAAACCCCGCCCCCCAAATAGTTTTATGAACCTTTGCTTTGATGTATGTTACCATGGATACCAGCACACACGGCAACTGGAACAACACAAAAAGTGTTGCGCGGAAAAGAAGTCCGATTTTTCAGTCATTGGGTGTTCCCGCACTGAAGGCGCCACGCGACGTCAGCACTCCCGCAACTTTTCCGCTCCACAACTCGACACAACGTGGAGGGTTGGGATGGGCGAGACGTGAAAGAGGCTGCGATTGCCGTGGATGCCCGGTGAGGTCTAAAAATGATCAAAATGAATCGCCGCGGCAAGTCGCGGTGTCGGTGAGAAACCGAGCCGGCCATCGTAAGGCAATTTGGAAGTGCGTCCGTTTTCATTTTCGGATCCGCTTTATCCTCACAAGGGTCGCTGGAGCCTATCGCAGCCGTCTTCGGGCAGTAGGCGGGGGACACCCTGAACCGGTTGCCAGCCAATCGCGATGACGCAATGACGAACAACCATCGGCGCTCACAGTCACACAATTTCGAGTGTTCCATTAACCTGCCATGCATGTTTTTTTTGGAATGTGGGAGGAAACCGGAATACCCGGAGAAAACCCACGCAGGTACGGGGAGAACACAGGAAGGCCGGGGCCGGGATCGAACCCACGACCTCTGCACTGTGAGATCAATGTGCGAAACAGTCGACCGCCGTGCCGCCTGTACTCCCCTCGTTAGGATAGAAATCACATTTTTACGTTCGCATCAAAAGGTTTGCCTACAACTCTCCGAAATCTAACACGGGTGTTCTTATTGATTTGCCGACAATGCCCACCATGGAAATTGCTGGATCTTAAGTGTGTGTGTGAGCGAGAGAGTGACTCATTTTTGAGGTTCCTTGACTTCTGCTCTGTGAGTGTTTTCACCCGAGAGCGGCGTCACCGAATGCTGATTTACTCGACGTTGTCATTCGCGGTCGGCTGAATTCCAGAACTGCGGGACGATCGACCTCCTCCGATCCTGTTTTGACGTTCCGCGTTATCTCCCTTCTCTGTCTCTCGTGACAGATGCTTTGCTTCGACTTTTCTTTTAAGGAATTTCTGTGTCACCCTGCCCTCGTGTACCCGCCCCCCCCCCACACCCAAAAACATCAAAGTTGGCCGAACGTGACCGAGCTGCTCCGCTGCTTGCGACGGGTAATTACAGTGGAAGGAATGAAGTGACACAAGTGTTTCATCGGCGACTTCCCGCCTTAGCCCACCCAAATGCGCTTGTTGGTGTCTGTTGTAATACGCCCCCCCACCCTCCACCTCCACCCCCCCAGCCGAATGAAGTGCACAGTGAATTCTATCCAACGCTCCACTGCTCGTAAAGCATGACTCACACACACGCACACACACACACCGATACACAGCCGTATATAAACACACGCCGGGGCGCCGCGTTGTAAAGTCACTGAACTCCAATCACACGAAAGGCGTTTACGCTCGACTCGCTTCAATTACAAATCAGCCTTGTGGCCCATGAATGAAAATGATGGCTTTCATTTTTTTTTCCGCCGTGAGTTTCCCCTTGCGGAGGGAGACACGGCGTTGACGGCAACCCCCCCCGAGCTGAGCCGGCGACGGAATACGTGAATGCAAATGGAGCGTCGCTTGATTTCCTCACCCCGAAAAAGTGATTTTTTTTTTTCCTTTGGGAGATGAAGCCGTTCGATCCGTCAATGGGCTCATTGATGAGCAATAGAAATGATCGCTTATTTTGTTTTTCATTGCGGTGAAGGGACTCTAAACAGGCTCAACTTACCAAACATTTCGAGGGGAGGTCGAGTGTCGGGAGGTCACCTTGGAGCCGGATGTGTTTCGGTGTCACCGTTGTCTGCCGGAGGGGGCGGGATGATCCTCCCCGCGGTGGATCATGGCGTCTACGTGGCGGGCAGGGGAGAGAGGGTACAAAATGAAGAGAAAACAATTCAACATGACTAAATTTGGAAATGTGTCTATAGCGCACTTAAGAAAAAAAAACAAACCAAGGAGCGAAACAACATCACGTCCCCGAGTCTCATGTCCAAGTACATCACTCCCAAACAGCTCCGATTGCACCCAAAGCATCTTTTTATTTATGCAATGTGATTTCATGGAGGTTGTTCTTGAGTGAAGTCACGAACGAGCGCTGCGGGCCGGATAATATGTGGCAAAGGAAAGAATGGCACGTCTTTATGTCTCGTCAAGCCTTCGAGCCTTATATAGTCTCGGCCGAGCCTCGCGTACTCTGCCGGGACGCAGCCAGAGGAAGCGCAAGCAAATGACAGACACCTCATTTGGCTCCGGTCTTGCCAAGGACAAAGACACAACATAAGGCAGTGCTTCCTCACGCTCAAAACACTTGTTAAAAAAAAAAATAAAAAATACACACACACACACACACACACACACACACACACACATACGTAGATATTTATGTGTATTATATATCAAGTGAGCACAAGGGTCTCATTTTCAAAATGAGCCACAAAAGGTCAATGAGGCAGACATTCATTCATTTTTGTCACCCAATCAATTTTTATTGTTCCAACTATATTCTCCCCCCCCTCCCCCCACCCATTTGAAGATCACAAAACCTTTCATTAACGCCGTGGAATTTCGCCATGTTGCCGTTGTTCCGTCTTGACCATTTTGTGTCTCATTTCCGTTCCCAGAATACCCGGGGGGGCGGGGAGGGGGGGGGGGGTACGGCAATTACGTCGGAAGCCATCCAGATGGTGTACGGTTGCTCGTTAGTAATCAGAAATAGAAATAACTTGCCTACAGGTGAAGAAGAGGAAAGGTCATGTCATGAGATGACGTGTCACTACTTTGTCTCGGAGCAAATTACTTTTTTTTTTTTTTTTTGGAGAGGCATGTGCTTCAATTACTCATACACAGCTTCGATTACACATGCAGTAAATATTAATAGATGTTACGTTTGATAGACTCCACAAGTAAAAAGGTGATAAAATTGGATCGTTAGACGGTAGATTTTCATTTTTCATACATAAATCCGGATGTCATTTACGTCAACAGTGGGAAACTGTGGGAAAGCCAACCAGATGCCGGTGGCTGATTAAGAAAATACATCATATTTCCTTTTTTTTTTTGAATCCAGCTTGATGTGTAATTGCATATTTGCATTATCAAGAGTCCTGTAATGTTTTTGTTTTTTTTTTTTTTTGCTTAAACTGAAAATGCATTTATCCAATTTGTATCGCTTTTTTTAAATGAAGTTCTGGGATGGAATATTACATTATGAAAATTAAACTTTACAACATTCAACACTTTATTGTATTTATGAAATAAATGACAAAGTAATCATGATTCATGATAAATAGTTGAATTCAAAATGACAATGAATGATGTTACAATTCAAACAAATGCTTACTTGCATATTTCTACTTTTTTAAGCGCATCTACATACGGCCCAGCCCATCTGTCCGATTTTAAAAATCAAACATGGCACAAAAGGTTTGCCCGGTTTTAAACGGTAGATGAAATTTAAAAAAATATCGATCTATCATCAGTTTAACATGGAGTACAAGTTTTGGAAAATTCTTCCAATAGCTTTTTAAGTTACTGTAGACACCTAAAAAATATATATTGTTAAATATCTTTCATTATGTTGCACAAAAAAAAAAAAGTCTGGATCCAGATACATTTTTTTAAGTAGACTATTGATCCACAAAAAAAAAAAAAAAAAAAAGCATCTGGATTCATCTTATTTTGTGCAGCCGCTTGACAAAATAAAACAGAATAAATTCAACACGCCATTTTTTTTTTCTGTGTCCAAAACCAGCAAAATGTTGATACGTTAAGCTGTCATAATTGCTGGTGAGTACATTCTGTTGTTCTGTTGCGGCCCATTTGCACCGCTTGAAATATTTTCATGAGCGGGAAGGCTCATTTTTGCCGCGGTCTCGCAGCTCCTGAAGGAATTTGCAGGCACCTCTACATGCATTATGCAACGGACCGATGTGAAAAATGCAGACTTGCTGACGTGACGCATATTAAAGCGGGCCCACGGCTTCCTTCCGTCAACAGAGTGGAGGGCACCCGAGCAACGCCCGCCATCATCCCTCCTCCTTTTTGCCCATCTCGGTCTCACTGGGCAGATTTAACAAAAATACTCCTCGGATTTATTTCTGAAATTACATTGATATGTCTCTCAGTGCTGTGCCTTCCAAAGTTCCAACACAAGTTGCAAGAGCACACGAAGAGAGAATGTGGAAAAGGAAGTGGACCGCTGCGGCAAGGTGGACACTCTGGAGCAAAACGCTGCAGGAACGACACCGCGTTCGATGCATCGGTTGGAAATGAATGCGCTAACACACAAAAATGGAGAACGGAGGTCTCCTGTATTTAGTGCTCAACAATGAGGATACTTTTTTTCGCCCCCCAAGAGGAGACTGCGGACTCGGCCAAAACAGGGCACGGCAGTTAAATGGAGACCGTGGTTTATAATATATTCAACAGTGCGGAAGCACCACCGCATTGAAAACATGAGTCTGAAAAAGACACCAAAAAAACCCAATAGAGTAGATAAAGGGTTTCCTTTTTTTTTTTCTTTAACATAGGAGACAAATATTATCCAGTAGGTGACTGGGTGTGGCGAGACAACAGACGGCTGCAGCAAATTCGAGAATGTGGCGCTTTAGTTTTATCATTTTCAGCATTTCTTGTCAAATGTTTTTACCCATGTGTAGGGATCGGCGAGTACCGATACCAGGTATCGGTATTGGTCCAATACCGGCCTGATTTTACAGTATTGGGTGTTAGCAGAGGCTGCCGATACCAGCCACTGATACTTAAGGCAATAGAAATCTGACATCAAGTCCTCCTCTGCAGTAGTTGGCGCTATACTGCAGCAGTTTGACACATTGGGAATCATTACCTGCATCATCCAGAAAGTTTTTTTTTTTTTTTTTTGTCACTGTTTAATGAAATCTAATGTATTCGGGGTGCTCAGTCTGAAAATAAATTTCCCGAGCCAAATGAAAGCGGGTGACCTTGTTGTCAGCCGTGTAAAAACATCAATGGAGCGTGGCGACATGTTAAGAGGACAGAAAGATCTTAACGCGACAAACGAAACTTAATTAGCCCAGTTCAGACGCCGAGACTGCCGGTTAAGCGACGCAAATGACGAGCGCTGCGGTTCTGAATCGGCGCTGCAGCCAATGCCAATACTCCCGGTGAGACGATCCGCCTTTGGAATTATTTATGAGGGGATTAAACAGAAATAAATAAATAACAATATCACAAGCACGATATTTCATTTTCTCTCCGCACGCCTCTCCTTTGCCTTGCTCTGCTTGGAAAAAGCATAAGAATAGAACTCAAAAGGATGAGCCCGCAGATGCAAAAAGACAAGGCGGGGGGGGGGGGGGGGAATATAATAATAAAACAAAGGCATGAGACAAACAGGCAGATTAGAAAGGCGCCAATCTCAAAAGATGGCGACAGTTGCAACACTCACGAAGGAGCAATAAAAGCACCAATGGTGTTTGCCCAAGTGGGAGGACCGTTTGTTCTTCTTGCAAACGATAGCACGCAACGGTGCAGTTAACGCTGGACGCTGTTTGCGTGCGTGACATGAGACAACTGCTCAGCCACAAGATCCATTCAAACAAGGTCAGGTGGAGCTTTTGGCTTGTGGGCAGCGCAAGTCCAGCCGAGCATCTCATCGTGCAACGCTTGCTACCGAAAGAGCTGTCGTCGGCGAAGGTGGAGCACCTTGGCAGGAAATGAAAGCAAACTGATCAGGAAGCAGATGGGACACATCCCGACGCCATCAAGCAACCGACGCATGAGACCACCAGTAGGCTATACGCTTGTCACAAATTGTGACATAAAACCTTCTCTTTACATTTTTTTTTTTTTTAAATAGCCAAAAACAGGACACACTTTCAAAAAGCGTTTTCCATGGATAAATGGGGTTGGCTCTCCTCCACCCTAAAAAATAAAAATGAAAAATGTGTGCATAGATTTTAATTTGCGTATGGTGATGTTTCTATCAACACTATGTTGAGTACGAAGTGCTGCTTCAATGAAGGAAAATTCATGTCACTTTTTTCCACACTCTTGCCACGATCATCCCCCAAGCTCCACCCAGCGTCGTCATGGTTACGCAATCGAGGATGTGAGGATAATCAAGTTGCTCAATATTTTCACAAGACCCCCTGTCATAACAAGTTCGGAGGGTTTTTTTACAAGACACATACGAACCATTTCGAATGGAAAAAAAAAAACACATGAGCATAAATAACTTTTGATTCAGCTCTCGTATTGGCTCTCAATCCATCAGACGGGTCCTCATAATGTGTTGTGAGTGTATCCTGTGAGTGGCTTTAACTTTAACAGTCACAATGTGTGTGCGGGTTGGTTGAATTTCACGGGGGCCTTCTAGCTTCAATGCAATAATCCTTGAAGTGACACATACGCACGGGGCATGTGTTGGGGATGTGGGAGGAAGACGGAGCACCGCTGCACTGGAAATGAATTTCTGTGCCACACGTAAATAGGTTGAATTGGATCAGGTGTGCCGAATAAAGTGAAAAGTCTGTGCAGTCAGAGACTTGCTCTCACAGCAAAAGCAAAAGATGAAAAGGAAGCAACAGAAGAGTCGTGAAATGATCTCCGGAATGTTCCCGACACTCCGGGATACTCCGCACTCACTTTTTGTTGGCAAATGCGTATCCTCATCACGTCTGCAACCGCTTTGATGCTTGGTGTCAATGCTCGACTGAGCCGCAGTCAGATGAATGCGCTCAAAATATACGGAAAAGTGCAAAACATCCGGGAGCTTGAAATGGAAATCATCCGGAAACGACAGCGTTCTCTTCCCGTCATTAACCTCGGGGTAACACGCTGACCCCACCGTGCCAGCCCGATTCTG